TTTTCTTCTTGCGATGCAGACGTGATTCTCGATGCAACGAATAAAAAAACATGTTGCGGGGTCAAAAGCCAGCCAGATGATTGTGACCATTTTCTTTTTATAGCATGTGCGATGTACTTATCCCAACTACTTCGCATTATAATACGATCTCGATGTGGGACCTTCGTCTAGCAATCATAAACGTGCATCTTAACAAATCTCCTTTTGACGTGTTAATTACCCTACATTACATTACATCCTTCTCGGAGCAACGAATAAAAAAATATGTTGCGGGGTCAAAAGCAAGCCAGATGATCGTGACCATTTTCTTTTTATAGCATTTACGATGTACTTGTCCCAACTACTTCGCATTATAATACGATCTCGACGTGAGACTTTCGTCTAGCATTCATAAACGTGCATATTAACAAATCTCATTTTGACGTGTTAATTACTCCACATTACATTACATCCTATTTGTAGGATTAATTTCGTCTAACACCCTCACGCTAGTTGTTTAACAAAATAGGTAGAAGAGAGTAGAAAGAAACACCGTTAGAGTGAAAGAAAATCAATACTAGTTCAATAATCAACCGTGACAAAAGCTAACGTCTAGGAAGCTTAAACTTATTTTTATATTAATTTAAAGGAAGAGTCGTACTAAAATAAGGGAATTAACTATTATGTTAAGATTCCCGACAAAAAGAAAAATATTACGTTAAGATATATCAGACAAACCTGTAAAACTCATCCTTTATTCAAGAGCTAGCGGGATAGAGAGTCTAGTAGGATTTCCATTCTACGCCAAGGAATGAGTCGCTTGGTTTGCGTGTGGGATTCTGCTCGATGAATCACGAGTGGATTTACACGGGAGAAGTCGGATAGATGGATGCCTGTGAGAAGGAGAGCTAGGCAAACTCTGCCCATCGTTTTCACGTTAAGAGTGTTGGACTGATACTCTGCAAAAACTGACATTCCGTTCGTTGGAGAACATCACAGCAAGCTTCAAGCCGCAATGTCGAATTGTTGATGTCGTGGTCTTGCGTTTTCTAAAGCGACTATTACACTCGTCTTGCGTGCATTTTGAGTTTCTGTTCCGTGGATCCAAATCTCATGCATTCGATCTGTAAGGACTAGGACAAAATGAATCTCCTATTAGGTTTCGATGTAACGCTGCTCGCTTCTCTTGTAGTTGAGAAATCACTGAGTCAGAGGCTTCATGAAAGTGAGTGCATGATGCTGAAGAAGAAGAAAATGGGCTAGCTACTAGGGTGAATTTTCCTAGCCACTGACATTTTACTTGACAAATTATGAGAAGACCTCACGCAAAATCCAAGATACAGAGATATAGATGCCTTATTTACATCGATTTCACGTGTTTTAACTTGTCTACTAGTATGATACGATAGACAACAAGTCGGTGGCGTTTAAGTTTTCGCAAATGTCTCGATACATACCAAGTGATTTGGCATATTGTTATCAAAGACCGTCACTATTCAAGCCCGTTAATTTAATGATCATGCCCAGCAAATTCAAAGAAACGTAGCTGTTTTCAACAAGTGGGTTGAGTAAGCTGTGGGGTTTCTTCACGTGTTGTTACCATAAAGACATCGTCGCAAGGCAAGAGCCGCCGCTAAAGAGTATTAACGCACGCAAGAACAAGGCCTGGTCGTCGTGGAGATCCAAGGTCATTGTGAATGAAGCACGAAACTTGAAAAAGAACATGGCTCGAGCCAAAATAAGTAAATGAATTGAACTGCGAGGGAGCCTACCTGATTTTTTTTCTTCCTAATAACTGATATTGATTGGATGATTCCATTTGTTGTGTTGAGATTGTAATACTTACATAAGTCACCTATTAATGTTTCGAAGATGTGGTATGATATAATCCTAAGGAAAAGAATTGTCCTAATTATATATCCATTGTTCTGGGAGGCAAGCATCTGAGCTGATTTAATTTGAGAGAAGGAGGACATCAATGGCCGACGACACTCTCGAGCATCTTAGAGAGTTCGATTAATTTCATCATATTTGTTAGGATATTTAAATATTAAATCATGTCTAACGGTTGAAACTTTTTGAATAGTTGACAGTTGTCTCACAAAATCTCGAATGGTATCAGAGTAGGAAATCCCGTGTTCAAATCTTTTTTAAGGTCTCTACTTTCCTCCCCAAAATCTAATAATTGGAAAAGTGTCGTGTAGATTCATTTTGTAGATGACGTCGATAACCCAAAAGCTTTAGTTAATGGGCAAGGGGAGACCACGTATAATAATAGCATAGTCAAATGATGTGGGACGTTTCAACAATCCCTCTCATTTGCAAGCTAGATTAGAATGATTAAGTTGCTTAAACAATTAGATGAATGATTGGTTTTTTTTTTTGGTCGAAAAATGATTGGTTTATTATTCAAATATTCTAACGCTCTCCTGTGGCCTGAGACTATAGTGTGAAAATAAAGATTTGAACTCAGGAGCTACTATTCTGATAAGTGGAGGGCGACCACGTGTATATAAAGAGCATGCAAACCTATGGTCAAGCAACGTGAAATATTTCAACAGAAGTGGTGGATAAGACTAATCACCATATAGAGAAAGGTTATGGAACATGTGTTCTGACTAACATGTAATCAACATGGATTTGAATTTTACTATGCTCTCAAAGGGAAAATTACCCATTCCTAAATTTATTGCAATCGTGTCAATTCAGTCATAAACTTTTTTTTAGCCAATTGATTCCTAAACCTTTTGCATTTGTGTCAATTGAGTCTATCTAGCCAATTTTGGCGGGAAATCGTTAGTATGGACGCCGGCTGTCCTACGTGGTACAGCCGACACTGTCATGGACATTTTAAAATAATATTTTAATAATTTTTATTTTTTTCTTTTTTTTCTTTCTCTTTATTTTTTTTTCTTCCCTTCTTCCTCTAGCTGTTTATTGGACCTTGGCGACCGGCTAGAGGTGAGCGCTGGTGAGGGCGAGCAAGGCTCGCCCCTAGCAAGGCTTGACCTCACCGTCGCTAGGCTAGATCGAGCTCGCCGGCCCTCGCCTCTGGTCGAACGCCAAGGTCCGGTGACCGGCTAAAGGAAGAAGGGAACAAAAAATAAAGAAAGAGAAAGAAAGGAAAAGAAAAAGAAAATAAATAAAAATTCAAAAAATTGTTACAATATTATTTAAAAATATTCACGTCAGTACCGGCCGCGCCACATAGGACGACCAGTATTAGCAATTTTCGGCTAAAATTGGCTGGATGAACTAATTGACACAAATAAAAAAAGTTTAGGACTCAATTGGGCAAAAAAAAAAAGGTTTAAGACTGAATTTGCATAATTGCAATAGGTTAATGACTGTTTTGATAATTTTCCCCGCTCTCAAATGCGGTTAGTGAGTCTTCCTCAAGTGTTAGGCTGTGTTTGGCGCACTTTGATTACATCCAATGTAGTTTTCCATGATCCTGGCCGCTAAGGGCGAGTCATTTACGTGTGTTAGGTGTACAAAAATGACGCACCAATTTTCCAGGGAGCGATTGAGGCACCGCTCGCTTTTTATTTTTTTCCCTCTATAGTGGCTCCGTAGCTACATTGAAATTGACCCTAATTAATTAAAATTAGGCGAAATGAATGTAACTATTATCCTAACTATATACGAATCTCTGCTGATTAGGGTAGTTTAGCCAACCCATCGTTTCAACCGGACTGGTGAAGGTGATTCGACTTTTCAAGTCAATGAACGCGCTGAAACTTAGAAAGCTTTTAAGTTCATGAAAGTATGCTGATCTAATGGCTTGGAAAATTCCAAATGCCACTCAGAAAAAAATTAAGTCAATAATGAGACCTAGATGTTTTGAATTCTATGGTAGGTAAAAGAAAATTTTCATATCTCCGTGGCCTGTCCGTTTGATATACAAGGGCGGCGAGCTCCAGAGATGCGTTCCTTATTTAAATGTGCCAGTGCCAGCATATCTCGCATCCCTGATTTTCCTCTCAAGAGGAGGGAATACTCTCTAGAAGTTGTACATCCCAGTGATTTCGAGATCCGGACGAGAATCGAAATAGAGCATTTTAAGGACCTGCTTAGGTCCCATTTTTTTAATCGTATGGTTGGCAAAAGAAAGCTTTCATATTTCGAACTATAACAATTGATTTTGTCACCTCATTTGAATCGCAAAGACACGTATTTAAAAAAAAAAAAATACCTAACTAGAGACCAAGAAAACGAAGACCTTGACTCGCTACACCGTAGATGAATAGTCTAGCTGAATCATAAGATCACTACTCCACGTCGCCAAACCAATTGAGTGCTCTTGCTTGTCGCCATTGCTTGATTAAGAACGTAGCTGGGATGCTAAATAAACGATAAAGGGTCATTAACATCAATCAAGGCAAGTTGATGGACTTCTATACGAAGCTGCTAGTTGCGAAGAGGACGAAGAGGAAAAATATGGCCTGACAACTTACGAGGAAACGGTGAAGTTCAAAGTGATGATAGGATGTCGTTGTCGAGAAGCGTTAGTTAGGAAATAATTAGTTGTCTCAGGATTCGCCAACCGTCCTGTAGGTAGCCATGAAGGTCAAGCAACAGGTAACAATTTTGGAAGCTAGTATGTGGGTTTGGGCTTGTGGGTGACTGATCTTAAGTTCGAGTCCGTCTGCTCTCCACCTTATCACTCCCTTGACTGATATGGAGGATAGTCTGTGGGTTTGGCTAGTTCTCCTCCGGTTAGTGCCTAGCTGGTCGAACTCCTGTAGTATGGCCGGTGCGGGAGTTCAGGTCATCAAAAAAATAAAAACAATTGTGGAAGTAGCTGTCTTCTCATTAGGAATCCAGAAAACGAAAAACAATAGACAGCAATATGATGGTTTTCCACGACTCAAGAACTTGATGGTTAGTAATTTGCAGAACTTTCCTGGTATGTTCAATGCGTGGCGTTGTCTAATGTTGACAAAATCATCCGGGTCCCTAACTTCCACCTTCCCCAGTTAGTCCTGCCTTTCTCAAGCCTTTTAAATACCTCTCATGGGCGGCTTCATCCTCGTAATAATCGAGCCACAGCCACCATCTCATTTTCGAGTTAATCTTCATGGAGGCTTCGAAAACCCAATGCTTGGGGTTTCTACTCTTCCTCGTCGGTATTCTCCAATGTAAAGCTGGGGTTCGTTACACTTTCGTGGTAAGTTCGAATTAGTGTTACACTGACATTTCAACAGTGTCATGTGCATGCAAACAGTGGTTGGACTGCTAGGTCGATGTTGCTCAAGTGTGTGAAATATTATAGGTCGATGAAACGCCATATAAGAGATTATGCAGCACGAAGAACATCCTGACGGTGAACGGGCAATTTCCTGGGCCGACTCTGTACGTGCACAAGGGCGATACCATCATTGTTGATGTCTATAACAAGGCAAAATACAACATTACCATTCACTGGTATGAATAGTATTTCTCAGCTTTCACATTATGAAGCGATTTCATCATTGGTATCTGAGTATATTAGTTGCGGTTTCTAGGTAGAAGTGACCTTTAAATGTGACTAATTTATGTGTCTTCCTCGTCATAATGGACAATCCACGAATTTAGCATATATGGGCACTCAAAAGTCATTAGGCATATATCATCATGCCCACCCTATTTCAAACCATATGAAGACCTTGTCCTCTTTTAGTAGATCTCCGTGTACATTACTAGCTTTCTTCAACAACTTTTCGTTACCCTTGTTCTAACAGATGTGGTTCTCGAGAACAATTTCTCAGCGTCATCCCATGGTTGCTTGAAAATCTGTCCTAATTGAATGGTGGATGATTTTATTGCAGGCATGGCGTGAAACAACCAAGATTTCCATGGTCCGATGGACCCGAATATATAACCCAATGTCCAATACAGCCAGGAGGTAAGTTCAGTCAGAAGGTGATATTCTCCACAGAAGAGGGGACCTTATGGTGGCACGCTCACAGTGACTGGTCGAGAGCCACTGTGCATGGAGCCATTGTTATTTACCCCAAAAAAGGTTCAAGCTATCCTTTTCCGAAACCTGATGCTGAAATGCCTATTATATTAGGTAATACACAAATCTGGTTGAGTAAATAATATTTGCTTGTTGGCTATTATAGTTTCAAAAAAGTATAGTGTAGACAAACATTATTGGTCTTTGATCATTCAAAACTTTCAAACATAACGATATATGTGCAGGAGAATGGTGGAAGAAACCGATAATGGAGGTCTATCATGAAATGCTCAGAACAGGAGGAGATCCAAATGTTTCCGATGCTTATACTATCAATGGTCAACCTGGAGACCTTTACCCATGCTCAAAGCAAGGTCAGAGACATGTTTATCCTAGTCTTCTTCTTCTTCTTCTTCTTCTTCCTCTTGGCCTAAGTTTATTTCGTTGTTCTTCCACTTCTTACATGGTTTTTGACATGTCATCAAGTAAAGGAACTAAAGGTTGCTTAGTGTGACAGAAATTGATGGCAAAATTTAACTATATCTGCTACACCTACAAATGTCAAAATACTCGCAAGCTTTTCAAGAGATTCCCATGGTCTTTAATGCATGCTTACACAAAAATATAAGGATGTGACCCTGCTTCTACTTGCTTTCGAAACCCATATAACATTCCAAAAGCAGGACGAACCATAGGGACGGCCTTAAATGAAATTATATGCAACTAATAATTCCCTAATTGTACGTCTTTTTGGGTTAGCGAGAGTTGCAGCCATCCTCTTAAATCATTTTCTTCTTCTTTAATATGGAAAAATGTCGGTCTCATTCCTGATGCAGACCCATCTCCCACCAAAGGCTCTTGAACAGTTCATTATAATGATTATGCTATAAAATCAATCATCAAAACAAGACATGGTAGTTTACTATTCTCAGATTGATTGTACCCCAAACGGAATATTCAGCCGGTGGGACTTTGTGCTTAAACTATTATCGGCTTAGTAGCCGTACAGTATCGTATATTCTCTACAGTTTTTCTTCCGTATGTTCGTGACTAGTTACGGTGTAATTTTGTTTCAGATACTTTCAAGCTAAGGGTCGAACAAAGCAAGACATATTTGCTGCGGCTAATCAACGCGGCCATGCAAGACCTCCTCTTCTTCTCCATTGCGAACCACAGCCTCACCGTCGTTGCGACGGACGCGAGCTACACGAAGCCGCTGACGAGAGATATCATCACGATATCTCCCGGTCAAACCATCGACGTCCTCCTTGAAGCCAACCAAAACCCTGACCACTATTATATGGCCGGTAGGGTTTACTCTAGTGCTCTCGGCGTGGCTTACGACAACACAACCACCACGGCAGTGGTGGAATACTCTGGAAACTACACTCCCACCTCACCGCCTCCTTTGCCGCAACTTCCTTATTACAATGACACTTCCGCGTCGGTCAATTTCACCGGCAGCCTCCGGAGCTTAGCGAGTGAGGAGCAACCCATCGACGTCCCCGAGAATATAACCAACCATTTCATCTTCACGATCTCCATCAACTCGTTCCCGTGCCCGAACAATTCCTGCGCAGGCCCCAATGGGACCCGTCTCGCCGCGAGCGTGAACAACATAAGCTTCACAACCCCCTCGATCGACATCCTCCAAGCATATTATTACGGCATCAACGGCGTGTTCGGAACCCGGCTCCCCAACTTCCCGCCTTACATCTTCAATTTCACGGCCGACATCTTGCCGCTGGACCTGGAGACGCCGAAGCGCGGGACGGAGGTGAAGGTATTGAATTACAACTCGACCGTGGAGCTGGTTTTCCAGGGGACGAACTTGATGGCCGGGACCGATCACCCGATGCATCTGCACGGATACAGCTTTTATGTCGTTGGCTGGGGACTCGGGAACTACGACATCAAGAAGGATCCGTTGACCTATAATCTGGTGGATCCACCTTTGCAGAACACCATTGCGGTGCCGAAGAATGGATGGGCTGCGATCAGATTTAGGGCGGACAATCCTGGTGAGTTTGAACTAATGTTTGACTTTAGACGCTTTATTTGTGTCGATATCTGTTGGTATTATCATGGCGCTATATTCTTTTCCGTGTTTGCGTCTTTCAACCTATGCTTGACATTAATCTCTTTTCTGACCGAAGAAAGAATTAACGTCTTTGCCTGCACGCGCATATAGCGAAATAAGCGAATGCGGGTCCCACTACACGTACAGCTTGTTGAATCAGTGTTGGCCAACGGAAAAGTATAAAAAAAAAAAGTCATGAACTTACATTAGTGGTACCAACTCAGTCTTAAACATTTCAGTTGAACCAATTTGATTCTAAACCTTTTCACATTGGTACCAATTCAGTCTATCCGAATAATTTAGGCTGAAAATTGCTCACGTGGATGATAGCCGTCCTGCGTGGCCGGTGAGCAAGTGGCCATAACCCTCACCTGTTGGCCAGCGAGCGAGTGGCGGCGACGCCCTCGCCCAGACTAGGCGGACGAAGCGAGGGCGTGCCACGTAGGATGGTTGGTGCCCACGTCAGGAATTTCCGAATTAAATTGGCATTGTGGATTGAATTGGTATTTGTGTGAAAAAGTTTAGGACTGAATTGGCACCAATATAATAAGTTTAAGACTTTTTTGGTAATTTTCCCGTTGGCTAACTATACTTAGTAATAGTAGATGAATACACCTATTTATACAAAGCCATGTATACAGATATGTGTTGCGTAGATAGAAAATTACTGATATTGGTTGTGACACAAATGGGCAGGAGTGTGGTTCATGCACTGCCACATAGAGCGGCACCTGACGTGGGGCATGGACACGGCGTTCATCGTGAGGAATGGAGTTCCCCCGAACACCCACTTGCTGTCGCCACCACCGGACATGCCACCTTGTTGAATCACCTTCGATTTCACTCCATTTTGGGGAGACCTGATGAAGACATTTATCTTTCGTACTTCTATTAAGGGTGTGTTTATTTCACAGAAAACTTAAGATTTGAAAAATATTTTTTGAAAAATGATTTGTTATATCGCTTAAAAAAATTAGTCGGTAAAAAATATTTCCATTGTCAATATCAATTTACACTTATTTCTGTGAATGATGAAAATATTTTTAATTTATTCATTTTTATGAGCGATATAACCGAACATTTTTTTGAAAAATGTTTTCCAACTCTTGAGTTTTCCATCAAATACTCGCACCCTAAGTTTCGTTAGTAGAGCATCACAATAACCTATGATAGTATTGATTTGGATGCCAATGTGCCTCGTCATAGAACTAGTCTTTTCCTGAAAAAAAGATAGTCGTTTTTTATCCATTTTATTGGAATCCAATCCCACCTCTTTGCTTCTCTCGCGAAGTTATTACATGGTTGTAAATCATGTGAACCAATACTATCTCAATCATTAATAAAATGGGTCGTCCTGTTGTAGGATTCGCATGATTCATGTTGCCAATAGGCTTGATTGACACGATTTAAAGATCATGCAATATTTTCTTGCCTCTCGTGTTCTAACCTCACTGCCACCGCGACCGATGATGCCCAAGGGCCAGGCCATGATGAAACCGGGCTCATTTTTTCCGCCGTCGTTGGGTTTTAAACCCATCCGCCACCCTTGTTTCCTCTCCCCGGCCAATAGGTTTGCTCATGCGTGTGCTAATTTATTAGCATGAAGTCTAACAATTGAAATGTCCATACATCATCTCCCTCTCTAAGTAAAGCGGTTCTTCTGCTCTTCTTCTTGTAACTTATCAAAACAAAAACAAAAGAAAAAGCGCTTATTTTATGCGGGCATCATATGTTACTATTTCACCTTGATAAAAATAAAGCGATCAAAAAATCTTAGAAAAAAAAAAAGAAAAAAAGCAGAAGAGAGAATTGTAAAATTTCTATGTATTCAATGTGCAGAGAAGAAGAGTACATGAGCCTATTCATAAGCTTTATTAGATTACTATTTAAGACAACTATCAATCAAGGATATGCACAATCAAAGGAAAATATATGTGCAATTCTAAGAGATAAGAAAAAAAATCAAAAGTAATATCCTAATTACCTCTAACATGGGAAAATATCATCCCTCTCAAACTCAAGGTGCATAGAAGTCAACTTAAGTTTGGACAAAAAAAATCCGAAAAACGCTTGGTCGATCGTCACGGTTCAACTAACATGGCTGTTACTTACTAAAGAGAGATCTAATTGACATTGACTTGGCTACTTACCTGGTTGTTGTGGGTTGTTGTGCCACCAATACAAGCTACATGCAGGAGGCTGTCGTTGCAGCAGGAGGCTGGTCGTCATGACATGCTCCATGGATGCTGTGCAAGCTACGTGAGAACAAAACAGGTTGACATGGAATATGATGTCACTATCGAACGAGATACACCAAGAAGATGATCCAATATTCGAGGTTTACAATCGTGTGTGTTCCTGAGTGCGATGTGCACTTGGTACACTTCAGGATCATCTAACTTTGATACTAAAATAATAAAAAAGCGAAAGAGAGAATTGTGAAATTTCTGTATATTTCATTGTGTAAAATAAAAGAATACATGAATCTATTTATAGATTTTTAGTAGATGACTATTTAAGATAATGCACAATTAAAGGGAAATATATACATAATCCTAAGAGATGTGGAGAATCAAGAGAAATATCATAATTATTTCTATTATAGTCAAATATTTGAGAGAAGCATCATAATTATCTCTAACAAAAAATATAAATCACCTTTCACCCAATGGCCCCTTATATATCTTCATTTTTAAAAGAGTTAATACCAAAAAAAAATTGGACCGCTTAAACACATTTACCATAGACTATTTCTCCACTCGCCAATTTAACTCTGTTACAATTACAACAAATTTTGCCGTCAAGTGTCCTACGTGCCTAGGCTCATGGTGCTAGCGTGGCGCCCTTATGCAGTAAATTTTTAACTCTAAAAAATTAGAAAAATTAAATTAGCAAATTAAAAACTAAAATGATGATGGCCAAGTAAGTTTTAAAAATAGAACAAGAGTTTTAATAAAAATAAATTAAAAATGTATAAATTCATCTTCTTCCTTACTAATCACTATAAAGGACCCCACCTTCCACTCCCTCTGAGTCGCCATTTGGCGCCCTCACCACTGGACACTTGCTAACAAGGATTCCCTTTGTGTTAAAAAGTCGACCTAAAAGCATAAACTATTGAATGAAGGTGTGGTTTATTATTAATCAACTTAAGTCTAAAAGCTTAAGTCTAACTTATCTGAAACATGGAGTGTTTTGCTTGGTTTCTGGCGAGTTCAACCTAAAAGCTTCAACCATTAAAACCTTAAGTCTAACTTATTCGAAACATGGAGTCTCCCGTCGCCAATCACAACCAAGCAAAACACTCAATTCCAATAAAGCTAAGCCCGTCATCCACGACGACTCATAATAGATGAATCAGCCTAAAAAAAAAAAACAAAGCAGAGATGAAACAGCGAAAAGAATCAGGGACACAAATGTAGCGGTAGAGATACATACAGTTCAATCACTAGAGGTGGAAGAGCGAAAGGGAAGGGAAGAGAATTGACCGTTGAGTTCAAATGAGTAAAGAGAAAACAAAGAGACTACACCTGAAGAGATGAAAATTGAAGATTTCAGGGGTAATACGAGAATGAGGGTGCGTGAGAGTGAGACTCTACTAGAGGATTACGGTAGAAATATAGGAGGGGCACTTATAATTATATAATTAGGATTTGGGAATAAAAGAAGAAGAAAATATCTACGGGGTTGGTTCAAGTCGGACCAACCCTAAAGCCTCAAGACTAAGGACAAACCCGCCCAATATAAGTTTCAAAGGCCCTAGGTGTAGGGTTAATTCTTGACCGATGCTGACCCCTACAAGCTTTCAAGATCAATGGATCTGAATGTGTATTTGGGCCTTTTGGCCTTTAGATTTCTTTCTTTAAAATCTGATTCTGGCCCATGTCAACTCCCACCAAATTTAGAAAACCAGTTGGAAAAGTCAAGCTTTTTTGTAAGACAAGTTTGACACTTACCTATTGCTAGTGCCAAATTCAGATTCTATATGGGGTGTTGTCTTCAATTGGGGCGTTAGTTGTTGAATGTACATGTGACTTTATCTTCATCGGGCATTAATTGTTGAATGTTACAGGTGATGTTGTCTTCATATCATGGTGCAATAATCGAGTCAAGCTGTACACGGTTTATCTTCATAACATTACATTTTTTCTTTGGGCGGGCCAATCAAAAGGGGTCAATAATTTTACGTAGAGTGGAGAAAAAGCTATTGGTCTAGCGTGTAAGCCTAGAGAGACTTTTCCCTATAGCTATGTGAGGATTCTAAGTACAGTTTTACTTTGAAATTTCAACATGAACGCGTATACATTAACCATATGGGGCCGCAAGCTGAGTACTTCCTTGGACTTTTCAAAGCAGGCGAAGACTGAAGCATATATATATAGCTAAGCATCGAATTTGTCAGTTGTAAAGGAGCTTAAGACGAAATTGATGCAAGAAGAGGGGAGTCCAAATTGATGATGTCATAGTTCACTTTAGAAGAGGGATTAAAGAAATTATCAAATAAGTCATCAACTTCGTCAAGAATCAATTTGTTCGATAAAAAGGCTGTTTTCGGGAAATTGTTTCTGGACCTTCCAACATTTGACGGAGAATTACTCGATTGACAATAAACTTTTTTATGGACTGAAAACAGCAAGTTTATTTTGGAAAGAAGAAAATCAATTTATGTGATTTCGTGCTTCGCATACAAGTGTAAAGAATAGATCCCTCAATGTCTATTTCCTACCTTTTATCAATTTTTTTTTAGTTTTTTTTCCGGTAACTTTCATTTTATTTTCATAAGTCTTCTATTATCTCCTGAATATACTTCATGTTCATGTTTTTCTACATTTTCAAAAAACTGATCATACATAATATTTCACAAATATGATTTCACAATTTATTCCTTGGTTTCTTCGTAATTCATGTATATTGATGGATTATATAATAAACAAGGAAGATGTTGATTTCACTTTGTAGTCATTTTTTACGATACAGGCCGTCTTTAGTAGATTTCGCTTATTACCATAAAACCAACTTTACTGGCAAGGCCAAGCCTCGCCCAGCCAACCTTCACTGGGCGAGGGAGAACCCAGAGACGGGGAGGTCAACCTCGCCATGGCTAGGTGAGGCCGACCTTGTCTTGGCTGCCCAGCCAAGGGTGGGTGAGGCGTTGGGGCGAGCTTCGTCAGAGGCCGGCCAGGTCAACCTCGCTGGTCAAAGGAAGAAGGGGAAAAAAAAGAACGAGAAAGAAAAGAAAAAACGGCAAAAAATTAAAAAAAAAAGTTTAAAAAAATATTATTAAAAATTATTCATGTCAGCGTTGGCGACCCTACGTGGGACAGTCGGTGTTCACGTCAGTGATTTCCGACCAAAATTGGTCGAATGAACTCAATTGAAACAAAATGAAAATGTTTATGACATAATTGGCACAATTAAAAAGTTTAGGATTGAATTAGCAAAAAAAGATATAGAATTTTTGGATAATTAATATTGGATTATGTACTTGGATGTATATGATTTTTTTCTTCTATAAGATAATGGCAATCCATCACCGCGTGGCCAAACTAATCATTCCCGAGCATTTTGTCAAGCGTATAGGTTGGGGCAGGGCTGGGAAAAATCATTGCAATGCTACCGAATTCAATGGACCCAATTTGGGACAGGATGTGACTCATCCCGCAATTCGCGGACTTAGGGGTTCAATCATTATCGATAAATAATGTCTCAATTATTTCATTTCTTTCATTAACTCCTGATTTAGATGCCCATTTCCATGTTATAAATTATTAGTGGGAGCCCACAAGACATGCGGGTACGCGAAGCGAGATCGTTGTGTCAAAAGAGGAATATGATGGTTACCAGAGAAAGTGAATGAAGCGGGCGATTATTCGATATAAAGTGAGAGCATTTTCGTGGCCTTGTATATAGTATTAGTTGCTTGTTTCGTGATTTCTAGACAGATTTACCTGGTTCTGCAGTATTCAACCACTCATCATATCGTTCCACTCTATAGTATTTTGAATTATTATTTTCTGCATGATTTAACAACGATGATGACTCAGTAGTCTCCGTTTCTTTGCTTTGACATTGTGACTATGATCGAAGTGCACATCAGAAACTTGACAAAGATTTCACGGACATAATATCTTTTTCAATTCCGTCCGTAGAATCTCCCTATTGTGATAGAGTGAGATGCATAGGGAGAGAGAGAGAGAGCAAATTGAAGACATCAACTTGCTCCATTGATTTAATATCGCTCTCACGCAACTCTGGGAGCGCAAATTAACGGGCCTAATATGGATGCCATATTGAACATAGGGTCTAATTCCTTAAAAAATATCCTCAATTTTAGGTTCAATCTTAATTTACCCAAATTTTTTTTGGTTAATAAAAAATCCCCAACTTTTATTCTAGTTCCAAATCTAGTCACGAATCCAAAAATCCCAGTTAGTTTCTTCAAAATTATCAACATCGGGATCAGTTAGCGGTCTATTATTAGTACTTGCATCTTTATCAACACCTTCACATTCGTATGGAACAGCAGCAGTAGTTTCCTGATATTGATAATCTTGAAGAAATCAATTGTGATATTTGAATGCGTGGCAAGACTTGGGATTAATGTGAAAGTTTGATAATCTTTTACGAGACAAAAAAAAATTTCGGGTTGGGATTAAGAGGTTGCATTTGGCCCCTAAATATAGTGCGTTACATTGATATGCGAAAAAGGAGGATGCATGTCCCGCAACACAGGCATGCCCAACGGGAGAGAGAGTTTGAATAGGCTCGGAAGGAGAAAACGTCTAAGAAAAAAACAGAAGAGGCACACTCAGACTCAGAGGTGTTTGGGAACGGCAATGTAGTTCCATAAGCGCACGCAATTTACGGTGGCGTGATTCGCTTTGAGATCCGACCTTTGACTCTCCATGCATAAGCCCAAAACTTTCTCAAATCTTTTTGGGCTCACCGGACGTAAGCCTTTTGAACTAAACTCGTTTTGGATGACCTTTCCAAATCAGCTCGATCAATCCCTATGAATGCAAGCAAAAGGCTGCGTTCATGTGCATCGGACAAGACTTTACTCGCCAAGCGATCGGCGTGGCCTACAAGAATACCTCGAATCAGAGGCATCTTTTGTGACTTGATACCGAGATCCAATGCATCCAAATCCGACGTTAATTATTCGATCGAACCCTTTTCTGTGAAATTACTTCTGGATCTTGGTTATGAGCGCGACATCATTGGTGAGAATGTACAACTTGTACACGAGAGGGTGAGCCGAGTGAAAAAGTTCGGGCTCAGCTAACCGCATAAAATGTCATGCCGACAAGCACGGGGGGCCTACCTTCTCGCTGGTTTGACATCTCCCATCACCATTATTTCGCAGTGTATAAATAGACACTTCTCGCAATCCGCTAAACTAAGGGGCAAGACAGAAGAACACATATAAATTTTTCTTTCTCTCTGTTTATGGATATGAGGTGCTCGGTGGGAGCTCAAGTGCTTCAGATTCTAGGGCTTGTGCTAGTCCTTGGCATCCACGTTTGTGGTAAGTGCGACATCTTGGGCATTGACTTTTCTTTAACCATCATGGTTTTAGTGCATAACGAAAGCTTCCAGGATTTGAGGGGTTTGACCTAATTAATTTACGCAACCGTCTTTTGACGCTTGCTTTATGGCAATAAGATCGAGGAGGGCCGAATCGACCACATGTGACTAGCGCTTCCATTAGGATAAAATACTTTATATTTTGGTCAATTAATTTGGAGTTTTTCTTTCTAGGGTTAATACCGCGAAAAAACCAAACTGGTACATTTGTGATAAATTTACCTCAAACTAATTTTTTGACTACTAAAAACCCCAAACTGGTACATCTACGACAAATTTACCCTCTGTTGGTTTCCGTTAAATCTTACTGTCAAATTACTGAGTTAAATGACACGTGGTAGTTGACAAATATACCAGTTTGGGGTTTTACCTCTGTTTGTCACAGGTGTTTGAGTTTGTAGGTTTTTTTTTTGTATTAATCCAATTTAACGAAGGGTAAATTTGTTATGTGTGTACAAGTTTAGGGTTTTTGGTGGTCAAAAAATTAGTTTGGGATAAATTTGTCACATGTGTACCAGTTTAGGGTTTTTAGTGATAAAAAAATTAGTTTAAGGTAAATTTGTCATAGGTGTATTAATTTAGAGTTTTTCATGATATTAACCCGTCTTTCTATTTCGTCCTTCATCTTTCACTGTGAACTTTTGGCTAGCTCAATTTGTACCGTCACCTAACGCATTTCAAATACTCCGTCGACTTGTCAGCATGGCACTGTTCACTTGGCAAAAGTTTGCAAACGTTGTCTGAGGGGCACCCTACTTGGTTTGGTATATTATCAACAATAAAACAAAAAAAGAAAAAAAAGTGGAAGAAAATCAACAAAGGAAAGAAAGAGGATAGAAAACAGCCTCTTGAGAGGACGTGGTCTCCGGTGATAATGGAGACGATGATGCCACATTGAATAAGGTTTCCCGATAGTCATGCATCTCTCTCTCTCTCTCTGTCTCTCTCTGTAGTATGCTTTTGATAACAAGATCTTGAGCGCATAAGACAATTGAAGGTCGTAAAACTGAGGAAATACAACATTTTACAGGATCAAAACAGATTTTGTCCAAACAAAAGAAAAATCAGACAAGTATTAACTTAACGATACGCCGTGAGCACCCAAATAATTTATTTTCTCTGGAAAACATGTTTGATAAGTCTTGAAATTCTCTTTGAAAACGAAAATGATGAAAATGTTTATATTTCGCCAAAACTAGAAAAAAAGCCTCCCTTTCTTGGTCATCCGCATGGTTGCTTTTATTTAGAGGGAAACAATGGAAACTCCATGAATTTTTAAATCAATCGTTTTAATTTTAGAATGAACTTTACTCGTTTTTGTTTAAAAATTATCTTCGAAAACATGCCACACATGGGAAAATTACCAAAAAAAGTCTTAAACCTATTGTGTGAATATCAATTTAGTTCTAAACCTTTAAATTGGCCAATTTAGTCCTAAATATTTTGACAATTTACCGGATTAAATTTGCCAATTTAGTTCTTCCAGCCAATTTTGATTGAAATTCGCTAACATGGCCGCCGGCTATCCTACGTGACGCAGTCGGTGCTGACGTGAACAATTTATTTTTATTTTTTTAGTTTTTATGAAATTTTGATAACCTTTTGAATTTTTTGAATTTTTTCTATTCTTTGTTCTTTTTCTTTTTTTTTCTCCATCTTCCTTCGTCAGTCAGCAGGCCTTGGCAATCTCTAGCGACTATTCATAGACAAGGTTGGCGAGGGTCAAGCCTCGTCCTCACCTATGGCTGGTTGCAGACCATTGCCTAGGCTTGGCAACCAGTGGAGGAGGAAGGAGAAAAAAAAAGAAAAGGAAAAGAAAAAAATTGTAAAAAAGTTTAAAAATACTAAAAAATGCAAAAATTGTTCACGTCAGCGCTAACCGTGTCACGCAGGACAGTTGGTGACCATATAAGCAATTTTCGACTAAAATTGGCCAGAAGGACTATATTGACAAATCATTAAAAGGCTTTGCACTAAGTTGGTAAAATTGGAAGATTTAGAACTGAATTGACATTCGTACAACAGGTTAATGACTTTTTTGGTAATCCGCGCCGTTTTCACTTTAGGTGATATATTGGTAAATTTTCATTAGGGCAACCCACAATAACTTGGGGAATTTTACAAGGTTTATCACATTTTTCATCGGGCATTTATATTTGAGGTTATTAAGTGGCAGTTCTCAAAATATCTATAGCATTAGAAGTCACATTGACACACGTCCACCTACTCTTCTACGTTCATGTACTTGATTGGATGTCTTCTCTTCGTGTGCATGATATATACTCTCGTTTGCCAGATCAAGGAAACACCCTATACGTGGCTATGCAGCACCAAGAGCATACTAACCGTTAACGGCCAATTCCCCGGCCCGACTTTATACGCACACAAAGGTGACACGGTCACCGTGGATGTGTACAACAAGGCCAATTATAACATTACTATTCACTGGTATTTCCCCACTCACTCTTTAACTTCGCTAGTGCCATAGGCAACCAGGAAATTTAGTTTTCAATGCATCTCTGATAAGGGAAAGCGAAAACGAACGAAATTGACAGGCACGGTGTGAAACAGCCAAGGAATCCTTGGCACAATGGTCCCGAATACATCACACAGTGCCCGATTAAACCCGGAGGGAAATTCACGCAGAATGTGACGTTCTCGCTTGAGGAGGGGACGCTTTGGTGGCACGCTCACAGTGACTGGTCGCGTGCCACTGTCCATGGCGCCATTATTGTTTACCCAAAGAATAGCACAAGCTATGCTTTTGATAAGCCTCATGTAGAAGTGCCGATCGTATTAGGTTTGTGACTCAAAATCGATTGCCTCTTTTATTTGTATGATCAAATATTTTTATCTTCTTTTTTTTATGTAATCTCACAGTTATCAATTGTATGAAAATGCAGGAGAATGGTGGAAACAAGATATAGTCGATATATACGATGAGTTTCGTGAAAGTGGGGGAGATCCAAACACTTCAGATGCTTATCTCATTAATGGTCAACCGGGCGATTTGTATCCATGCTCAAAACAAGGTTAGCATACACTTTGACACAATGTCCTTATTGCTCTTGTAGAATTCCGAACCCACTTGATGTCCAAGATTAGGATTTTCCTAATGACATTCTTAGCTACCTTACGATAGAATCTCTGTTTTTCTCGATAATTCCGGATCAAGAACAATCATCTTTTTTAAAAATATCATCATTTCATTGACATGTAGAAAGAACTTTAAAAAATTATTTACAAGAGTTCAAATAAATCTCCACGTAGACATTTAGACTTATAATGTTGCTATTCCATCTAATATATACATAAATGAGCCATGTTTTTCTCCGATCAGTCTCTAATTGATGCGTTGTCTAAACATGACCCATGTGTAACTCAAAAAAAAAAAAAAAAAGGCACATCGCGAGGGTTCAACTGGCGGTGGTGTCATAGCTAGGTTGACGGTGGCATCGTCGCGAGGTCGGTAGCGATGGGGCGAGCCCAGCGGCAACATGGTGAAGGGGTGCTGGGTGGGACCGGCTGATTTGAGGGAGGAAGGAAGGAGGAGAAGGGAGAGAAAAGAAATGGACAATGCTAGCAGAACAGTTGCCGTTACTATTGGAAGTAACGATGGTATGTGGCCACAGGTTGTAATGCTGGCATAACACCAGTTGTGATGGAGGGGAGGAAATTTCTTATCATAATGCTAGCATAACACCAATTGCCTTTTTTTTTAATCAAATACATCTTGTGGCCTCCATGCCACTTTTACTTGCAATAATAACGGTGACTTGTTACTTAAGCATTTCCCAAAAGGAATCAAGGTTTTAAAGTGCGTTTTCAGTTGTGTGAGGGAAAGTCGCGTTCGTGCAAATCGTTTTCCAAAAGGACCCATCTCCTAAATGGCAGAAGGAAAGTTCCTTCCAACTTCGAAGGAAACATGGCCCCAACCATGTACCAAAATCAAGTCCAGTTGGAGGTCTGGGAAGGAGCTAGCAAGAGTGTGGGAAGGCCGTATGGGCCCTCCAAAACTAGTCACAAATGATTCTCGTGTATCAATTGCAATGATTGCATTGCAACAACACCGGTAGGTCCCCGACGTTTCTATCAGCGGTTAATGTCCACGCCTGAAAAGTTTCAATCACAGTATGAATTACTGTATTGCCTAATGCCGCATGTATGAATTTAGTAGGCTTTCAGCATTAATCAATTTTGCTTGACCCATCCTAAATAAACCCTCTTCGCTGCCTTCCCTTTCACCGCTAGATACGTTCAAGTTGGCCGTGGACTACGGCAAAACCTACCTCCTCCGGCTCATCAACGCGGCAATGCAGGACATCCTCTTCTTCGCAATTGCGAATCACCAAGTCACGGTGGTCGGCACTGATGCCTCCTACACGAAGCCCCTGAAGGTTGACTACATCGCCATCTCTCCGGGCCAAACCATTGATCTCCTCTTGGAGGCCAACCAGCCCAAGGACCATTACTATATGGCTGCTAGGGTTTACTCGAGCGCAGCCGGTGTTACATACGACAACACAACCACCACGGCCCTAATCCAATATAAAGGTCGATACACACCGTCCTCGCCTCCTCCTCTACCTTACCTTCCATACTACAATGACACGGCTTCATCGGTCAACTTCACCGGAAGACTCCGGAGCTTAGCTAGAGGAGACCACCCCATAAGTGTCCCGCAGAACGTGACCCACAAGTTCCTGTTCACCATCTCGGTGAACACGTTCCCTTGCGCGAATGACTCGTGTGCCGGGCCGAACGGGTCCCGCCTCGCTGCAAGCATGAACAACGTAAGCTTCGTGTCCCCGTCGATCGACATACTCCAAGCCTATTACCACCGCATCAAGGGCGTGTACGGCAACCGGTTCCCGAGCGAGCCCCCACTCAAGTTTAACTACACTGCAGATTACCTCCCACTGGCCCTGGAGACACCGCAAAACGGGACGGAGGTCAAGGTGATCGAGTACAATTCGACGGTGGAGATGGTCTTGCAGGGGACCAACTTGGTGGCCGGGACCGATCATCCCATGCACCTCCATGGGACCAGCTTTTACGTGGTGGGGTGGGGATTTGGCAATTTCGACAAGAAGAAGGACCCCAAAAATTATAATTTGGTGGACCCTCCATTGCAAAATACCATCGCGGTGCCCAAGAATGGATGGGCCGCGGTGAGATTCCAAGCCTTCAATCCAGGTACAAATATTGCAACGCTATACAAGTTTATCATAATATTAATTCGATTCTTTAGTTTAATTGAAGGAATAATAATGTGGCTCTTTGGAAAAAAAAAATCTTTTTCAGGAGTTTGGTTCATGCATTGTCATCTTGAACGACACTTGACATGGGGCATGGAGATGGCGTTCATCGTTAAGAATGGCCCGACCCCAGATTCGCAGATACTTCCACCGCCGCCAGACATGCCGCCGTGCTGATGTAATGGAACATATGGGTTGTTATTAGCCCTTTGAAGTGCCCTTGTTGAGTCGTCAATCTTTTTTATTTCATTTTTGTTAGTTTTTAGTATTTGAAGATTTGAGGAGGCATCTGAATCGGAATTTAGGTGCTGTCCTAATCCAGACGCGCAATGCTTGATTTGTCTGGTCTTAAGAGAATATGTTGTCGAATAGTATTCCGTTTTCTGGCGGAAGAAATGTACTCATGTCACTATCTATGCTTGTTGTAAGAATTTGATGATCAAGAATAAAACAATTTGTGAACATATTATATACATAGGCTGCGTATACAACACTAGATTAAACAATAAAAAAGATCGCTTGTATTAGTTAATGAAAAATGTTTTCATTGTCGATAGAAATTATGTCTAAAAGTTTTCCTGAACGATAAAAATATTCTTCGTTCATTCATTTTGGTAAGCAAAATAAGCGATTATTTTTTGTAAAATATATTTTAAATCATTCATTTATCGCGAAACAAACAGAGGCTTACTATATAGTCAATTCCTGTACCTTTGTGTGCATCATGGATACCCTTATGAGATTATTAAGGGTACTAATTTAGGTTCGAATAGCATGCATGTAAGGCCCAGGAAACTGAAAACATATTTTCTCCATGAAGTTATGCATACATGGATCCTAATTAAATTGAAAAACCAAGTTGGTATCCTCCTCAACTTTGATATATGGAGATTGTTAAGGAATGTATCTCGCAATCTTGTCAATCAAGACTCGTGGAATATGCTTTCAAGATGTAAGTTTCTAATTGACGAAGGCTATTATCCTTAATGCGTCATCTTTAGTTTCTAAACTGACTCATGGGCATTCTTGCTACGTTTTAGATATATAATTCGTGTTCTACGACCACTTGTTGATAATAACTAGCTCCATTCTATATTGACTATACATATAGCAAACATGGAAATAATTTCCAATCTCAAAGTTTTACCAAAGTGCGTTCTTGTAGAAATATTCATAATTTAAAATTGCCAAGAATATTGCGGCATAATTTTATAAAAATCTCTTAATGTAAATTTCAATCTAATATTGCTCATCCTAATATCCTATACTTGCACGCCAAGCTTGTCAGCCAAGTCGAGGGTCCAGCCGAGGAAGTCAGAGAGGATGGCCGCGGAAGGGTTGGGGTGGGAGGCGAACCATCAGGCGAGGGGAGGTAGAGGGTGGAGATAATGAGGACGTTGCCGAAGTGACCGATGTCGCGGATGTTCTCGACGCCCGGCGAGAGTTTGGGGTGGGAAGGGAAGGGGAGGACGAGGGTATGGACAAAGGGGTGGGCAGAGAGAAGAGGGTTAAGGAGGGGGAGGTTCTTGGAAGAGTCCAACACGGTGAGGGCAAGTCCGCGGAGGGACAGTTGGTGGACGAGGTCCAGGTGGCGAGATCATGTGGCCTCGCGCTGGTTAGGGGAATAGTAGTACGTGGGGAGGTGGAGACTCCATAGAAATGAAGAATATGAAGAAGAGATGTTTATTTTGATTCCTCTATGAAAAAGTCGGTCTGGTCCGGGCGGTCCGATTCTCATCTGGAACCGAGAAACGGACTACCTATCACTGGTTCCAATTTTATGGAACCGAGAACCAGACTGACACCCTTGGAAATCGCCCAAGACCGGCTGGTCCGAGCGGTTCTTGGTTCGGGTGATTTCCGTTGCACACCTCTAATTAAAACTGCCAAAGCCAACTACGAACTCAATGCGAATTGCACAGGGTTAGATTTATATTTGATGTGTAAATTCATGAAAATGTGTCTTGCAATAATAAAAGAAAGTTATTACGCACGACAAGTCGTGAAGTCAACACAGCTTAAGCCAGCTTCTTACTTTGACACTAGACTGGGTAGAAAATGAACGGCCCGGAAAAGAACATAAATCTTTTGTGCATATTCAAACCGGCACGAGCTTAGGATAGTCGACAGTGGGCAACCAAAATCCTGGTCAGTTTCGAGAGGCTTGACTGATGGTGCGACGATGTAACTCTGGGAGCACAGACCATTCAAAGACGTTCAATGATCAGGCTCAAATAATTCATGGACGATGATGACATGTGCTCGAATAGATCCTTCCTCGTTTTTCCCCGTGAAGAAAATTGGTGGTTTTGACGAACAGATGAAGCTCGCGCATGCATGAGAATATTAACAATGTATTTCGACCGTCGGAGTTCGAATTTTGAAGGAAAGCCGTAGACCCAGAATAAGGAGAACAAAACAGAAAAATATTATGGTATCCATAGTCTCTTTTGTTCTTTAAATAGAGCGAAACATCATCGTCATCTGCTACTCAGTGAGCTCCTCAGTCGACATACGTGTTATAAATGATACAGGAATGGTCATGGTGTGACCACGACGTCTCTCAATATGCGAATACGTAATTTCGTTGTTAAAGGAACGTAGTTATACCTACTATTTAGCATGGAATTTGGATATTGAATGCTCCTTATTCCTTAATATAATGATTCATGATCTTGACTTGCCTTATAGATTAGGTTATCCGCGGAAAATAATTGTCTGATGTTGACATGAAATATATAAATCCTAGCGAATGTAGGGGTAGTGGATTGCCATCCTTTCGACTGTGCCAAGAAACGCAAACTAAATACATGTGTAGATGCTCGTATGACTGTGCTGATCACTGAGGTTGTATCTTCGTTAGTGATGAGCACATGCCAAAAATTCCTCCTCTAGTAATTGCGTTGGCAGAAAGCACTTAGGTTTGGCTTCCTTTTCACCATCACCGTACGGAGATGACCAAAACAGTTTGAACGAATACAAATTTAATATTTGGGAGAGCAAATTTTCGTGGTTTAGTGAGACAACATAATTCAAATTCTCAAATCTAGAACTAGGTCGGAGAAGAGAGCTCCAAAATCTAGATCATCAGAGAAGAAGAAACAAAAAAACAAAAACATAATTAACAAGAGAGGGAGCAAAGGGTGAAATTAGGTCAAACCTCCCCATGGCTGAAGGTTGGAAAAGACGATGGAGAGAGAAGAGTGAGTGAAAGAACGGAACCGTCATAGTGCATTTGATATTTGTGCCTCTTTTTTTCTTTTTTGGTCGAGTAATAAATTTACGTGTAACTTTTGGCAATTGGCATTCGAGATTGGGGATAGTTGTCACAATTGGTGATGGTATAATCTGGATATCGAACGAATAATAATTTCACGTTCATATACTTTACATTCTAATGTTTGGAGAAAGACAAGATCCACTTTACATCATGAAAATACTCCACTAAAAAGATATCGGGAAATGATAATAACCTGTGTGGTAAAGTCCGTAAGTGTTAAATACGTGACTATGTTAATCCCGCCTGACGACCATACTATAGCCCGACAGAATGACCCAAAAAAAAAAAAAAACCAGCGAGGTAGATTGTATGAGCATGGCTAGACAACCCGACGAGGAGCATGTCGACAAGACCCTCGTTTATAAGTGATAGTAATATTATGATATTTATCTGATTTTTTATATCTCTCGTGATTACACATACCTTGATTGATTATATTTGATAATGCATTTATCTTATTATATCAGATAGCCATCTGATAAAGTTTATAGATAAGCTCTCCACGTACTCTTTTCCAGACATCGAAATATATAGAAAATTCCACAACTTTCTTTTCCGCGTTATTTCTTAACTTGTCAATCCTTCCTGAGGAAATCATAAGTTCACCGAGTGTGCACCCGATGCATTTCGTGCACTCCATAGTAAATTAAATCCATCCCGTCGTTGTTTAGTGATTCATTCACATCTGCCCAAATGCCAAAGTGGTCATGTTACGACGTCAGTGACGCGTCGCCTAGTCAAGCTCTTCTTGTCACGCCCCGAACCCCATCGAGCTCGCAACATCCCTCTTCGATCGAATAACGCGACGTCCCAGGAACATCGCCGAACCAAACCAACACATCCAGATATAAAGCATCAGCGGAAGCAACCAAGCACCCAGACAATGTTTAAAAAGGGGTAATAGGGATAATATACTTATATTCAATACCAAGTCAAACTTATACAGTACACTACTTACAATCCACATACTATACAAGCACACCGAACTTCTAAGGTTTACACCACCGATATCAAAAAGAAATCAGTAGTTTGGGAATACTCTAGCTCAAAAATGGGACACTTCAAAAGGTTCACTCTACCCCTAAACTAGCCCCTACGCCCTCTAGACGGCGTCCACTCCGAGTCAAACTCCCCAGAATCCGAATCTGATGCCCCCTGAGCCACCTACTCCTTTGAGGACTCAGAATCCACCTCGATCTCAATCGGGTTGTCCTCATCACCCGGCTCTAACGGAACCTCAATTCGCTCCTCCTCTTCAGACTCCTCTTCTGGCTCTTCCTCTGGCTCATCCTCTGGTTCTACTTCTGGATCTTCTTCTGGTTCCTCCTCAGGCTCTTCTTCTTCTTGTTCTTCTTCCTCTGGTTCTTCTTCCTCGGGTTCATCTTCCTCTGGTTCTTCTTCAGGTTCTTCCTTTTCTACGGGCTCCTCCTCGGGTACTTCTCCTATATCCACGTCCATCGGATCATACCCTGCCTGTGACTCTTCTGGCTCCGGATCAGGCTCAGCCACTGAAGGTTCAGGTGCTGCAGGTACATGCTGATGTCCTGATTGTGCGAGGCTAGTGTCCAGGCTAGTCATCTCACCATCGGGAGGGGGTATGGCCGACAGATCCCAATCTCCCACTCCGTCAAACGGGACATCAAAGCCTCGAACAGGACCAAACTCGTCCATACCATCTCGAAAACACCAGGCTGTGTAGGTATGGGCCTGCCAAAGGGGTTATCCTATATCTACCCAGACTACTGTAGTATGCTTAATCCAAGCCATATTATCATCTATCGGATACTCTACAACTGCATGGTCGGTGTGCATGGGTATACCAAAACGCTGAGGCGGTGGCGATGGAAGATTCATGGTCCAAGCCGGGGTTCTGAAATTGTTTGGTTAAACAACCATGAGACACGTCTCAGCAAGTAAACACCATAAACCCCACCTAGGCTAACACGTACCTCCAGATAAGTCCAAACACAATAACACTCAACAATCATATAGCAGGCACACAATTGTACTTACCTGAGCTTTTAATGCGTACAATCTGCACGTTAGTCTCAATTACACAAATTCCAACCACATACATATTCCAAGCAAATTTTCATGCTCAAAACAAAGTCGAACAAATGGCATTTCCAACTTCTCATTTCACATACTCGGTCATGCCTCACCACACTATTTTCATTAAACTTG